AAAGATCAAGTTCGTGTGTTCGATCCTAGCTTCGTGCAAGGATTGATTTTGTGTTTTGATAGTTTAAGTTTCAGAATGATATAATGGGAATTTATATTCTTGATTTCGTTCTGGTTCAAGATTAAAGCTTAAACCAACTATTATTTCACTTCGACTGGATTTTCCGAACAGAGTGAAAATCAGGAGAAAACTTGAAAACAGTAATGAATATTTTTGACTTTTGTGATCGAAAAAACAGGATGGAAACGAAGCGGGCCAAAAATATCTTTAATGCCGTTTCTTAGAGCTCGACGGGTACTACAAATCAGAGAAGAACAAAAAAATTCTACCGTATAATTTTTTTGCTGTGGGGCCTGAAAGTTGACTGTTTTTGAAAAGGGGTCTTGAAAGATGGGTTTCGTACTCAAAGCGGAAGATAGATATAGACCTTATTCTTTTTTCATTCGATTAATCAGTCCATTAACTTCATTTTTATCTATATTGCAAAAACTTTTTATTCTTTTTTCCCTTCAGAAAACATGAAATATTGAGTGCCCTGAAGTTAACGGATCGTTTTTTAGGCCGTTTTTTAGAACTTTATGCTAGATCAATTTTAGAATGATTTTTGAATGTTTCGTGACACATAGAGTACTTGGGGGTAATTAGAGACACTCTTGGAAATTTTTGTTGGGTTTGCTATTTCTTGGCCATTTTCGATCTGAAAAACTTGCGATCATATTGGTTTCACACTACATGGGATATTAATTTAAATATGTTTTATGAACTAAATTAAACTCAGAATTAATTATGATAACTAGAGAGTGACAGTTTTTATAAAATCTTCTATTTATGGCTTACATAAGGATGTTCTCTATCGATTTCAAGGACTCATATACAAGATGATATGAAGTTGTGGACAGCAGTAGGCATGCACCAGTTAAAAACTGTTGTTCGGGCTTCAGCGAAAATTGCTATAAGTTGCCTATAATGAATTACTCAGAGTCGCGGAACGTCGCATTTTATAGAGAAATGTTTCTTCTTGAATACTCGGCTGCGAAAAGAAATCTGAACCTATTTCTAACAAAAATGTGAGCATTACAGATAACTTCGAAATATTTCTATGTATAGGCGATTGTAATCCAAACATTTCTCTACAAAATGAGACATTCGGCGACTTTGAGTATTTCGTTATCGGAGGCTTATAACAATTTTTGTGGAAGTCACAAGTTGAATTGCGGCCATTAACGGCCTATTTACGGTCAAAAGCATCTATAATCATGTATGTGAAAAACAGTCTAAAAACGGTTCGTTAACTAGCCGTTAACAGCCTATTTACGGTCAAAAGCACCTATAATCATGTATATGAAAAACGATCCGTTAACTAGCCATTAACGGCCTATTTGCGGTCAAAAGCATCTATAATCATGTATGTGAAAAACGGCCTAAAAACAGTCCGTTAACTAATCGTTAATGGCCTGTTTACGGTTTAAAGAATCCCATATGTGTGTTTTTCGTTTTTTCTCCATCATATTTCACATTGTGTAGATGCACTGGAATAAATTGTATGTAAAGTAGTACGTCAGCTTGCAAGCTTGAATAGCACTTTGATTGTGTTAGTTTTCGAACCGACATGGCCATACAGTGACAGACTGGCAAACACAAGTTCTGATGTTCGAATTTCGATATTTTCAAGTAAGGAAAACAATTATACACTGTAAATTTTTTTGAAATTCTATTTTATAGAAAATCGACTTTGAAAAAGCTAAAGCATTTTCAAACTTTTATTATTCATCCGTCGAATTTCAAACTTTCAGAAAATGCTTGATTTTCTAAATAATAGAAATTCAATTTGATTTCCTACAGAAAATCGAAACTAGAATACCAGCAGTTTATTTTCAGGAAAGTAGAAATTCGTCTAGGAATTTGTATGGACTTTCCTAGAATATCGTTTAAGATACTCTATAAGTTATTTTCTAGTTTACGGTGTAGCGGCGTTAGATGATGTGTATAGTCTAGTACCTAGATTAGGTCGATTAGTGAGAAAGGGTAGATGCAACAGATAAGTCAATATCACGAAGTCGGAGGAAAATTTTTTAGGACTTAATATAACTTCTAAAAAACGGCCCATTAACGTTCTCAAAACAACAAAATACGGCCAGTAAATGGTAAGAAAACGTTTAGAAAACGATCCGTAAACGGTGAAAAACGATTTATTTAAGACCCTAAAACGTTACAAGTTTTAGGTTCTGAAAACGGTCCGTTTACGGCACGTTAACTTACCGTTAACGGTGTGTTTTCTTGGACCTGGGGCGTTTATTATTACTAGCTCCCCTTACATTCAGTGCATTTGTAAATATCGCATGACTCACCGAGTGATAAGAAGAAGCCAAAATAAATAATATAAGCATAAGCAAGGTGTGATGCGAGATCGACAACTATAAAATGGTCGACAACAATATCGTGGAGGGTGCTTAATCGAAGAATCATTTCTAATGGAAAATAAACTAGTGAGAGGTGGAAATCGGAAAGAACGATTATTTGACAGTATCGATAGTATTGAACAGCATAAGAATGACCATTATGTTGATATTCAAAATGAAGGCTATAAAACACGAAAACTGATGGAATCAGCCCATGGTTACCAGATTCCACTTAAACAGCTCCAGGTGCATGATAAACAGTCATTAGTTCACAATACACATAATCGCGTGGAAATTCGACGAAGAAACGACCGTTATTTTGACATCAAAAAGTCTCCCGGCTGTCTGAAATGCTTTGTTACCGTAATGTTTTGGTAATTTTAACGCCCGTTGTAGCCGTTCGTAAATCCACTGCAGCTGCGTGAAAAAGCATTACAGACATTCAGGAGACGTCTTATTGTGTTCAGAATTCTATGCTCTATCAGACTATATGATTTCGAAAATTTTCTGATAAAAAACCATGGACTTGGTTTTCCAGCGGTCAGGTTTTCCAGAAACCCTATTATCAATTTTTCTGATGAAACGTCGATAAAATTACGAAAGGAGTATTTTAGAGCTGTTTCTACCCTCGAATGCTTGTTTTGTATGTCTTTGATGACTGGTCCCACCAGTGAAGACCTTTTGAGTAGCTCAGTTTGTAGAGACTTTCACGGGATATCTAACGCTGTGTTTNATTAACCGGGTTTTACGTGACAAAAGTATCTGATTTTACCGAAAACGGAATAGAGGCACTTTTTTACTACATATGGATCCATTTTTAGTCAAAAAAGAGAGTGGGCCGATTCCCGACCGTATGCGGCCCCCTCCTTTGTAACTAAGAAAGTCTTCGTTCCCCCATTGATGGCTATGAAAATACGCCTCTTCATCCATCAGATATTGCTGTTCAACAGCCCGAATTACTCATATCTGATGTTCAGTTGAAAGCTGAAAAAGCAAAACAAGAATGCAACCAAGCAACCAAGGACGGTCTCACAGAAGACGAATCAGCTGCTATTTATTTGTATACAATGGAATGGGAATCAGGCGCTCCGAGTCTTTATCATTTGTTGAACGAAACATTGCGCGAGAAAACGGGTAGGCAACAACTCGAACCATGGTTTTTATATTTGAAATTGTTTTTAACAGCTCTTCTTAAATTACCTTCTAAACAACAAACAATATGGCGCGGTGTTAGAAAAGATTTGAGTAAACAGTACCAAATTGGTCAACGAGCCTCGTTGACCAATTTGGTACTGTTTACTCCCCACTAGGTTTCGGAGACATAGTGGGGCTTTAGTTCATTACAGGATCGCTAACAGTATTAGAATCGGAGAGTTTTCTAGGAAAATCCGGCATCCGTACCTTATTCAGTATCGAATGTTAGAGAGGAAAAATTATTAAAGAACATTCGTTTTACAATGATGAAGATGAAATTATTTTGCTACCATCCACACAATTCGAAGTTGCGGAAAATTGAACCCACCGCCACATTTACACATTATCTACTTATAGGAAGTTCAACCAACGGAGCTATTGTTAGCATTACAGTTGACACTGAAGGAAATCCAAACTGAAATTGACCAAAATCATAGGAGGGTAAGTGTATTAATCTATACCATGACCCTCTAATTTTAAAACAGAGTCGAATGTCCATGAATCAACTGCTGATAAAACTTCCTACAACAGGCTATCGTATTAGGCGGATTTTAAAAAATTTCAACTAATAGCTGAACCAAAACAAGAACCAAGTAAGTCTAAGATAATTCCAACACCACATGGATGCAGTTCATTTAAATATTTACTTCAAAATGGAAGAAATTTGTAACAGATGGTTTAGTTTTAGTCGGCATTTGCTTGGTGATATTCGTTATTGTCTTTCCGATTATGATAGTGAACAAAAACGTAAGCGAATGCCACATTCTTTTTACTTCAGAAGCTTTAAATTGATATGTTTTACGTTTTATACAGGGAAAGCAGGTTCTGCTCCAGGTGATAAGTTACTGCATTTTCTTTTTTTGTTCCTTCTTATCGAAATAGTTGCACAATGATTGTTCTGAACAGTATTAAAAATGCAAAATTATGTTATGTGAAGAAGAATAAAACTAATGTACTATGTTGACAAACATAAGAGAACGTTTGTATTCTCTTTATGCTATTATTTGTTCTTCTCAGCTTGGTATTTGTGAAATAATACATTCTTTATATTTCGGTAGGTGAGTACGGCAATAAAACAGGTGTCTGTCACATTCAAGGCGACCCTCATTTGTTGATGTTTCCGGAAAAGCTCAAAGGTGAGCGAGTACAATATTGGTGTCGACTACTTGGTGTACATCCGTTGTTATGCAATAAATATGTTACCGCAACAGTTAGTGTAACTGAACAATATTAGTACAATGAACAAGTGTGTGATTTCTTTCGTTTAAGAAAAAGTCGTTACCTCAAACAAGATTAAATTAATTTTAGTTTGAATTCAAATTTAAGAATGCATCAGGAGCAATTTTTTGTACAGTAACCAGCAATAAGCGACTAAGCGAAATCAGTGTGATAACAGCCTCGGTAAGTATGATTTTTCACAACGCTGATGTAATTAGTCATGTTTCCCGTCGCTGAAAAGCACTTAAATGCTCGTAGAAATTACCCTAGATAAACATTTTTCGTTATTTACGGTAAGAATCTTATCCGAGTCTTGGCGGATTCTTATATAAGAAGTCCGCACGAAAATGGCATGAATTTTGTACGAATCCGATAAGAATCAGGTAAGATTTAAATAAGAATGAGCTATGACTTTGATACCACTTTCTTATCAGTTCCTTATAAAATTCTTACTAAAAGCCAATCACCGTTTTATCTTGCAAAAACACATACATTGAGGGCCGAAAAAAGCCTGGACTTTTTTATTTTTACACATAAACGAACAGCAAGGATATTCTAAAAATTTTCTCTTATATCTATTTTTGTAGAGCTTTTTCGCTGATCATTTTGGTAAAAAAACTTTTTGATTTTCATTGAGTAATGACAATGTTATAGTCAAAATACTAAACAC